CATCTACTTCTTATGGGTTAAGTTCAGTCTTGTCAGAAATCTGAGGTGTGGAAGGAAAATTCCTTGAGAGAAATAAGGAAGCTTGTTTAGGCTCTCTCATGAGGTCAGCCACTCTGACCACAAAGAAAAAAATCACTGACCAGTAAACTGCTATAAAATATTCAGAAAAAGTTGGGCAGATTACATTCATAGGTTGCCGAGGTGTAAATATGTCACTTTTTATTAATTATAAGATAACTTACGTGGACACCTCCCTCTTTATAGAAATTCATGAAGTATTTTACCCTAAATGTCTATGACAGGAAGAAATGGCAACAAATATCCAAAGGACAGAAATCCTAAATGTATAATTTTGGTCCTTCAAAAAGTAGACACCAAGACATGATGAATCATATAAAAGATTTATTGGAGGAAATTCCTGTGAAGGAAAGAGGAGTCAAAGAAGGAGAGTCTTCAGACTAAAATCCAAGCCAGAATCCTATAAAACAGAGAGGAAGAGAGGAGGGTTAGGAAAGAAAAGTGTCAGATTGTTGTATAGTTATAAGAAAGTTTTAGCTGACTGATGGTAAGTCCTCAAGACAAAGTTTCCCATTCAACAAATTCTGTGTCTAGTAATAAGAAGCCTGCCTGCTCAGAACCTCTGTCATGGTTGGCTGTTGCCTATAGGAAGTGTGACATGAGCACTTGGATCCAGAAGGATCCAGAAGGACAAAATCTGAGACTGTCATTCAGTTATGCCAAATTATGTAACAGGAGATCTGAGGGGTACATTTTTTTTATAACTACCATGATATATAAAGAGTTTTCACAAATGCAGAAGATAAAAGGGGAAACCACCAATACAAAAATAGACAGTGGACATTATACTAAAATGCCTACTCACAACCATCTCTCTCGTTCTATGCGCTTCTCTGAATTGCAGTGGCTGGAAGAACCTGTGTCAGCAGGAATCTGGTGACAATCCACCAAAGAGAGGATCACCTTGTGATTTCCTGAACTTCCTATACTTACAGATTTCCTGAAATCAAATAGCAGTTTTCCCTGACTTGTTTCCCAGCCTTTTCTATTTGTCTTACAAGCCTCTGATTCCGTGTGTTAAATCACTTCCTGCTCGAAATATCTACAGCAATTTCTGACTAAATCCTGACTAATAGAAGCATGGACAAGCAAATCACAGCATAATAAATGGAAGTGTCAAGTAAATGTATGAAAATACACTCAAAATTTAGAAATATTTTTTAAAGATTTTATTTTTAAATAATCTGTACATCCAGCGTGGGGATCAAACTCACAACCCTGAGATCAAGAGTCAGAGGCTCTGCCAAATGAGTGAGCCAGGCATCCCAAGAATAAAAATGTTTAATGAGATATTTCTTACGTATCAAATTGGCTAAGGTTTTTTTCATTTACAGATATTTATGTACTTGTCTATTTTATTATAGATACTCAAGATTGGCAAGAAGCAAAAGCCAACAACAACAAAAAAAACCAGTTTCCATTATATACTACTGTTAGGAGTTTACATTTTGTGTGTACATTTGTAAAAGCTTTCTAGAAGGCAAATTATACTCTCTTAAATTTTCATAATTTTTGATCCTTGTCAATATCATGACATATGTATGAAATGGAATTGCTATGCAGCTGTTATAAATCATATTTTTGTAAAAATTTATTAATATGAATATGTGTTCATAAAACAACATTAAATGAAAAAGCAGGATATATAATTAGAGACACAATATGATCACAGTATTATACACAATGCATATATATACACTTTATATATGTATATCATAAATACATGTAAATGATATATTTCAGATATGTATGTATATCATTTGCACACATGGGGAAAATGTATCAAATATTGCACAGTGGCTCTCTCTCCAATGGCAAAATTATAGATTATGTCTTATTTTTATACATTTCCAACATTTTAAAATGTGTTATTACAAGCATATATTTTATAATAAAATACAGGTCAATAAGCATTTTAATATGCCTATAGAAATTCATCAGCAGGTGGAGAAACAAGACAAAGTATTTCTACATTTGGTACAGATACTGATTCTTGGTGTCTCATTTCCCTTTTAGATGATATTTGACAAATTTGATTGATATGACTCAACTCACATTTGCTATACAAGAGCAAAGATTCATTGCTTTAAAGAAATAATTTATCTGATCTAGCTATAGGTACACTTGACCCATATTCCCACCATAATCTACAATGTAGAGATGGGTCCCACGATTCATGTCTGTACACTGAATGATTTTCTTAGTTCAATAAAGGATTAGAACACAATGCTTGTTTAGAGAAGTGTGACTTGATACTGCATCAATATCATTCTGAGCAATGTTTTTCATTTTCTTCCCACTTTAACTTTTTAAGCCTTATGCAAATTAGTTGAAAAGCCAGGTCTTGGGTCACTATGCTTACAGCGGTGGGATTGGGTGTAATTCTCAGGTCATTTCACAGATTTCTCCAGCTGACTACATTGTACTCCTATTACATGTGGGATTGGAGCCTCTCTGGGTTAGAAATGTGTTTTCCTTTAAAGTAATGCACAAAATGAGCGGAGTTATTGGTTAATAAGATTCATAACAAGAAGATGGATAAGCTCCATGATATGTAATTTCACTCTGTCCTAAGAACACTCTTGGGGTTTTGTGTGTGTGTCTCTCTTTAAAAATTAGGAAGCCAAGGGTCACAAAAGCTGGAGTTTGCCCCTGGTCTTACAGGAATGCAGGGACAGCATTTTTATGACTCTGCACCTGACTCTTTCTTCATCCCCCTCCCCACAGGTCTAACTGAACACCTTCTGGGATCTGCATCTCACCCAGTCTTAAAAGACTAACCCACTGATAGATAGTTTCCTGTTTGTGGGTCGATGGTTAGTGAGGAAAAAATAGTTCTGAGAGTTGGTGTCTCAAAGACTGATGTTCGCTGGCTGAGAGGCAGATTTGAAAGACCACCTGGCAGTGTGTAGGGGCGAAGCTAGAAATAAAGAACAGCTTTTCTCAGCATTGGTTAGCTGGTGGGGAAAAGGAGGGGCTCTCTTCTTGTTTGTTGGAGGCTAGAGGACTGGAAGTTCCAAAGACCTTTGTACATTCTAATCTTGCAGAGCCGAGCAACTTTTGGTTGCTTTTCTTTCTGATAACACTACTTCCCTTATCTACCATAGAACAGATCTTAATAGAGGACTCTCCTTTATGGTATAAGGCTAATGAATATGAAACTAAACAATAAAATTTCTCTCTGTTGATGGCATTTCTAAAGAACATACATGATAGACATATTTGAAGATGAGATAATACTTCCTAATTAAGTAGTGCTTCCTGATCTTTCCATGGACACTCCTCCAAGGCATTACAGGTATATTACTATCAAAGAGCCTCCCAAACATCTCTCTTCGAAAAAGAAACAATATTAACAAATTTTGTTCAGCAGAGAAAATTCTAATGCATACCACTGGTCAAAGATATCTCTGTTACTAGCTTCCAGGGTACCTAGTAAATACTTTAAGAACAGCATATTTTGTCTAAATCAATAAATATAAAAGAGGATGATGTAGGAGGTAGGAATCAAAGTGGAGAAAATTCGGGGCACCTGGGTGGCTTTGTCGGTTAAGTGTCTGTCTTCAGCTCAGGTCATGATCTCACAGTTTGTGCGTTTGAGCCCCGCATCGGGCTCTGTGCTGACAGCTCGGAGCCTGGAGCCTGCTTTGGATTCTGTGTCCCCCTCTCTCTTTGCTCTTCCCCTGCTCATGCTCCATCTCTCTCTCTCCTTCAAGAGTAAATAAACATTAAAAAAAAAAACAACAAAGTGGAGAAAACTCTAGTATTTTCCCAATATCCCCAAACACATATGGCTTTATTCAATTGTATAAACAGAACATGGAATTTACCAGAAGAAAAAAAAATCAATAAAACTGGTGATGTCAGCTTTTCATATGCCAACTATTAATAAAATCAAAGAGAATTAGAGAGATGTAACAGAAGTAACTTTCCTTAAAAAAAAAAATACATCTTTTAGGGGCGCCTGGGTGGCTCAGTTGGTTATGCATCCGACTTCAGCTCAGGTCATGATCTCCGGATCAGTGAGTTTGAACCCTGTGTCAGGCTCTGTATGGACAGTTCAGAGCCTGGAGCCTGGTTTGGATGCTGTGTCTCCCACTTGCTCTCTCTGCCCCTCCCCCATTCATGCTCTGTCTCTCTCAAAAAATAAACATAAAAAAGTACATTTTTAAATAAAAACTGGAAAAGAATTTGTGGAACTTTACCCACACTAAACCGTGTAAGAAACTACAGCAGGACTATAATGCTTTTTAAATCCATGCGTCTAAAGAAATGAGAGATGTCGTAAAGTTTAGATGTGCTCCCTTTATCTTCCAGGAATCATAATTTTATTACAATCAGATTTATTAAATGTTATCTGATTTTACTCTCATCTTAAAACATCTGCAAATAATATAATTTACCTGAGCATTTGGCATAACCACATGTTCTTCTCGATTTGAACTGATCTGAGTCCAAGTGTTAATTGAATAAAGCTGCTCAAAAGTAACTTTGGGGACATATCTTGGAACACACCATATCCACAGTAATATCTGTCAGGCAAGTGTCAATTTTTCTTTATTTTTAAAATCATATCATTTAAAGAAGTTATTTACTATAAAAATCACACCCCACCCCATACACACACACGCACAAACATCTTGTTAAAGTAAAGCGAGAACTCCATCCACTCAAGACAGGAAGGAGGGGAAAAAATCTGTGGTGCGCATTATGCCTGTTGCCGCAGAGTATTACGGTAAACAGCCGATTACCGTACTCGCTAGGGCTACTGCCTGTGTGACGTCAGCGAGAGCTAGCTGCAAAGTTCCTTGCCGTTCTTTGCTGATGTCGGGGAGCTGAAAATTAAAAGGGTGAATGTGGTGTTATTGGTTGGCTGGGTTTTTTTCTTTTCCTATTTTCACTCTTTATTTTAAATTCTGCAGGTAAAGCGATAGTGAGCCGGGAGCTTAAAGACATCCGTAGAGGAGGGGTGAGTCAGCGGGTGCAGAAGGACTAAGAATTGGTTCCTTGAGAGAGACGGTCGCCTCTTTCCCCAGAGAGGAGGCGGTAGGGCTGCTCCTGGGACCGAACCCCCGTCCGCCCCTGGCTCCAGGTGAGTGCGCTGCGGCATTGGGCGCGGGGGTCCAGAGGGGTCGGTGGATGGGAAAAAAATCTCCCTGGCTTCTCGGTGAGACGGAACCCGCACTTTCCCTATGCGCCCCCCACCTTTTACCCGCTCTGACACCTGCATCCCCACCCCACTCCGTTTCCCTTATATATTCTGGAAAGTTACCTCCTTATTAACAAGTGTGTTTTTTAGTCCGTGTTTATCGCCTCGAGGTAGAGGAAAGAGGTTTTCTGCAGTTTTTAGTACCACCTGTGAGCTCTTGAACTTGGGATTTTTCACAATAGCCTTTGCCTGCGAGTCCCGCCTCAGGGCCCGACCCCAGAATCCTTAGAAGGCAAGATGGGTCCCCAACTCCTCGCACTCCTGTCTGAGTCCCTGTGGAAACCTAAGTATCTCACGAACACCATGGCCCCAGCCCAGAAAACAGAAGCGTCGCGTATCCTCCTGATTTTTAAGCCTACCACATCCGCAGTGGCCGCCACTTGCAAAGCCCCTTCTGCAGAGTGGCGCTTGCCCTCACCACCACTTCTCCCCCCGCAGCCCCGCAACCCCTCCGGGTGTGGCTCTAGGCTCAAGTCCTCCCGCACCGTTGATACTGCAGCTTGAAAAGGGCTCCTGGACCGACCTCGGTCGCGTTTAGCCCTCCGGCCCCGCCAGGTTTTTCTCCGGACCTGGCTCTCGGCGGGCTTGGCTGGTGGACAGACCCGCGAGCACCGCACACCCAAGTGTGAATTCCACCGGCGTGAGCGTGCACGCGGCACTGACTGGTCCCGCGGTCACAGCGGTTCCCGCTCCCAGGCCGCCCCCTCCAGGTGACTGCGAAGCAACCTGTTCAGATGGCAACTGGGTAGATCTTCCAGTTTTCACCGGCTAGACTCGGCGCGACGCACACGCACTAGCCGCAGTCCCGCCTAAGCGAGTTCCGTGGGGTTTAATCTCGCTGTGCGGCCGCTCGTACTTGGCTGCTGCGGCTTGGGGTTTGTTTGCTTCGGCTCTTGGAGCCGGCCTGAGGCAGCGGGGCCGCGCGCCAGGGCAGGTTCCCAGCTGCTCGAGGTCCCTCCTGCGCCGCTTGTGCTGCAGCAGGGCACGCCGCTCCGGGACCGCAGCGTCGGCTGGGCTCCTGGCCGCTGCCCACAGCCCGTCGAGCCCGGTACGGCCTCGCTCCCCGGGACGCCCTGGTATACATACCGCCTTTCTCTTTGCGCTCTTTCAGGGGGACGCGGGGCAAACAAAGCCCCGCAGCCGCCTCGGTCTTGGCCAGCATTTCACATCCACTTCTCCCTGGCCTACGCGCCTAGAAGCTGGATCTAGCACGAGTCCACCGCTCACCAGTCACACTGTGGGTCACTGCGGGCCGGGAGAAGAGCCCAGATGCCAACGGTCCCCGCCTTTGAGAGTCGACGGCAAACCGGTACTTAATTGTGGTTTGCGGGGAGGCTGGGGCTATGTCGTTAAATTCCCAGTTACGTGCAGAATGCTGATTCTTCTAAACAGGACGGACCAGACAGTACGGAAAAGTGGGTCCCTGTAATTCTGGGATTGCATTTTTGCAACCTATCTCCTCGAGCTTCGCGCCAAGCCTGGGGGGGAGGGCAGTTGGGGCCTGAGGCCAGCGCCGCGGGTAGATAGGGTCCGCGGGTATCCCCGCGCGTGCGTCCCTGGCCATGTCTCCTTTAATGCCCTGCCCTTTTGCGTGGCCTTCTGAGGGTGTCCAGGGCAGGCCGGGGTTGCTTCCCACCCACGCGCCCTCTCTCACCCCCAGCTAACCCCAGCGGGCAAGTCTCCCCTGAGCCGAGACCTTTTGACTCTGCTCCCTGGCTCCCGCTTCCGCCCTCGCCCCGGGGGTGGCTCTCGAGAGCCGGACTTCGCCGGCCCCGGCTGGGACCATGGTGTTTCTCTCTGGAAATGCCTCCGACAGTTCCAACTGCACCCATCCGCCGGCACCGGTGAACGTATCCAAGGCCATTCTGCTCGGGGTGATCCTGGGGAGTCTCATCATTTTCGGTGTGCTGGGCAACATCCTAGTGATCCTCTCCGTGGCCTGCCACCGGCATCTGCACTCGGTCACTCACTACTACATCGTCAACCTGGCGGTGGCCGACCTCCTCCTCACCTCCACGGTGCTGCCTTTCTCTGCTATCTTCGAGATCCTGGGCTACTGGGCCTTCGGCAGGGTCTTCTGCAATATCTGGGCGGCCGTGGACGTCCTGTGCTGCACGGCGTCGATCATGGGACTCTGCATCATCTCCATCGACCGCTACATCGGTGTTAGCTACCCGCTGCGCTACCCCACCATCGTCACACAGAAAAGGGGCCTCATGGCTCTTCTCTGTGTCTGGGCGCTCTCCCTCGTCATCTCCATCGGGCCTCTGTTTGGCTGGAGACAGCCGGCTCCTGAGGACGAGACCATCTGCCAGATCACGGAGGAGCCGGGCTACGTGCTCTTCTCGGCGCTGGGCTCCTTCTACGTGCCGCTGACCATTATCCTGGTCATGTACTGCCGGGTCTACGTGGTGGCCAAGAGGGAAAGCCGGGGCCTCAAGTCTGGCCTCAAGACTGACAAGTCGGACTCGGAGCAGGTGACGCTCCGCATCCATCGGAAAAATGCCCCAGTAGGAGGCAGCGGGGTGTCCAGCGCCAAGAACAAGACACACTTCTCCGTGAGGCTCCTCAAATTTTCCCGGGAGAAGAAAGCAGCCAAAACGCTGGGCATCGTGGTCGGCTGCTTCATCCTCTGCTGGCTGCCTTTTTTCTTAGTGATGCCCATCGGTAAGTCTTTAAACACCGGATCTTTGTATTTAAGGATCTTCATCCTCTTCCCTTTCCGATACCCAGTCTCAAGGTCAGGGGTGGTAGAAAAGGGATCTGCATTTCAAATAGCAGAGCCAGAGGTGGTGAGGCGGCATCTAGGAAATGCTGCCTGGTAGAAAAGTACATTTTAGTTTCCTTTCTTCTCCAGTCTCATTTATAGTATGTCCCTGGGCACCTTTTCAACTACTGTAAAGTGGTTTCCAACAGATGCAGATTAATTGGTCTCCTTAATAAGAACGTCAACTTTTCTTAATGCCTGTAAGCATGTGTTTAATTTAAATAGATCCCTCTTCTTTGGAGTCTCAGAGTCTCCACCACACACTTAGGCAGGGCTGTGGAATTCCATTTTCACCTCTGCTGCTCTGAACTGCTAAATTCTCTTGGCCTAAAAATAAGCACTGTCCTTATTCCGAACAAATGTGTAATTTTATTGTTGGATTCGATTATTCCTAAGGGTTAGTCATAATGGTCTGCTTATGTTCTATATCTGCGTTAATTTTATTTTCTGGACTCAGTATGAAAGAAAGTGTGGTAAGCCACTGACCAGAAAAAAAAAATGATTTTATGTCCAAACGAATTTAAGCTTTAAAGAATTCAACATCAAGTTTCCTATAAGTAAATACTTTTCCCCTGATTTTAATAGTAAGTATTAAAACAGTCTCTTATCCAAGAACCTTCTGGAGGTTGCAGATGACACTGTTTGAAAATAATGCAGTCCTGTTACAAATCCAATTTTTGCAAATGCTAAATTAGCTGTTGTCAAAACTAATTAGCTCGTGGTAAGTATCAGCAAGAGGATCCATTTGGAATAGTCATCTATCCCTGAAAGGCCTTCGTGAGATCCCAAAATGGTTGTTTGCTATTTTTAGTTTGTGAGCTCAAATACAGACCCACACATTGGTTATCCACTAGCTCTAATGAACAAAAAAATATGATAAAAATTAATAAAAGTTTGTTTCTGGAACGTTAGAGCCAAATTTAAGCACTTTAATTTGCAACTCTGTGGTAATAATAGGTATTAATTTGGGGGACCAACTTTGTTTCATTGGTCCAGGCTTTTCATTTCATTCATCCCCTCAACAACTCAGTGAGGTATGTGTTATTATTTAGAAATCACAAGTGCGGGGAGGAGATTCATCAGGCTCTGGAGTCTCACTAGTACCATAGCTATCAGTCACATGTGGCCCTTTAATGCAAATTAAAGAAAATTAATATTCAGTTCCTCAGTCCCACTAGCCAAAGTTCAAGTGTTCAATAACCACATATGGCCAGTGGCTGCTGTTTGGGACAGCAAAGATATAGAACATTTTCATCGTTGCAGAAATTTCTATCTGACAGAGCTGCTTCAGAGGCCCTTTTGAGTTCACTAGCTGACTTCCCATTGTGCCTACCTGTCATTATTGCTGACTCTGCTCCTGGACTTACATCACAGCTTTGAATTTATTTAAATAGCACTCTACCTGAGCCCCTGTATCCTTATCTTTCTGCATCCCATCTTTTACCTCCTCTTGAAGTTTGCACATTTTTTCCTGCATCCATGCACTTATCAAGTGTATACTGAGCACTTGTTCTAGACACATCATTGGAGCAAAGCAGCAAACTCCTTGCCAGTAAAATGTCTGTATTCTTTTGGGGGAGCTAGACAAATAAATATATCTTAAGAAGTCATGGGTTGCTAAACACTAGAAAAAAGTAAGCAGGATCAGAGGATAGTGATTTGTAGGACCACAGGGTGGGTGGTCAGACAAGTCCTCTCGGAAGAGGTGATATTTAAGCAGAGACCTAACTGAAGTGAGGAGTGAACTTTGCAAAGTCTGGAAGGACTTTTTGGGCAGAGGGACGGCGAGTATGGAGATGGGAAAGAGCCTGACCTGTGCAAGGCAGAGCAAAGACGCAAGCATGGCTTACCTACAGAGTGGGCAGACAGGTTCAAAAACGGGTTGTGGGAATAGAGGAAGTCAGGGTAATGTGGGTCTTTTAGGTCCAAGTAGAATTTGCATATTATTCTAATTGTGATGGGAAGCCATCCAATTGGACAGGTGTTAGCAGGGGAG